GAGCGCAGCGGGGCCGCCCGCCACCTGCGCGCGCCCCGCTGTCCGCGTCTGCGCGGGAGCGCGCTCGCCCCGCCCTCTTCCCCGCGCGCGCGCGCGCGCGGGCGGGCGAGGTAGGGCCAGGGCCGGCCCCGCGGCAAGGGGGGAGAGGGGCGGGGCGAGGCGTTAGAGAGGCCCCGCCCCGTGTGGCCCTTGGGAGCGGGCGCAGGCTGGGGGTTGTCGTTTAGGTGTCGGTGTCCGGGGTCCCTGTGTAAGTGGCAGTTCGCTCAGCGCCTCCGCTAATGAGATTCCCGACTTTCATTCGCAGAAATAACCTCCTGTCTCACGTTAAGGTTCAGGCTTCGCAGTGTCTGTGCCTGCAGTCTGTGTGTGTGGGGCACCTTCATGGCAGCACACGTCCCACAGTTTCGACACTGGCTGCAGGCTTTCCTCCAGCTCCTCTTTGTGTAGCCTGCAGCTGTTTCTCCAATGTGCTTTGTTAGCCAGAAAGCCCCATTCTCCTGGGTGCAACAGGAATAGTGATAGAGGACAGGTTTCTTTGCTTACAGCTTCAAACTTGTCTGGGCAAGAAGCTTGGTGTGAGTCTGCAGTGTGTGACTGCAGATTGGAAGGCCCAACTGCATCCTGGGCTGCATCAGCAGAGAGGCTGCAGCTGGGCGGCGGGGGGGATTGTTCCAATCTGCTCTGCCCTCGTGAGGCTCCATCTGGAGTACTGCATCCAGGCCTTGAGCCCCCAGTACAGGAGGGTGTGGAGCTGCTCAAGTGGGTCCAAAGGAGGGCCAAAAAGGTGCTCAGAGGGCCGGAGCACCTCTCCTGTGAAGACAGACTGAGAGAGTTAGACTTGTTCAGCCTGGAAAAGAGAAAGCTCTAGGGAGACCTCATTGTGGCCTTCCAGTACTTGAAGGGAGCTTATAAGCAGGAGGGCAACGACTTTTTACATGGTCTGATAGTGATGGGACAAGGGGAAATGGCTTTAAACTAAAAGAGGGGATATTTAGGCTAGATATTAAGTGGAAATATTTTCTCTTTCAGTGGCGAGGCACTGGCACAGCTGCCCAGAGAAGCTGTGGTGCTCCGTCACTGGAAGCACTCAAGACCAGGTTGGATGGGGCCCTGGGCAGCCTGAGCTGGTGGATGGCAGCCCTGCACATGGCAGGGGTTAGGGCTTGGTGGGTTCTGAGGTCCCTCCACCTTAAGCCATTCTGTGGTTTTATGACTGTGTGATTTTATGTCTCTGGTCTATTTTTGAATTTTCTTCAGGACTTAGAATCATGCACTCATAGAATTGCTCAGGGTGGAAAAGACCTTAAAAATCATGAAGTCCAACCATGACCTAACCATACTACCCTAACTAACAACCCTCCATAAATCTTGTCCCTGAGCACCACATCCAAACAGTTTTTAAACACATCCAGGGATGGTGACTCAACCGCCTTCCTGGGAAGCCTATTCCAGTGCTTAACAACCCTTTATGTAAATAAATTTTTCGTGATATCCAACTGAAACCTCCCCTGGTGCAACTTGAGGCAATTTCCCCTTGTCCTGTCATCTGTCACCAGTGAGAAGAGACCAGCCCTGCTCTAGCTGCAATCACCTTTCAGGTATTTAAAGAGAGCAATAATGTCTCCCCTCAGCCTCCTCTTCCCCAGACTAAACAGCCCCAGTTCCTTCAGTTGCTCCTCATACGACATATCTCCAAGCTCTTCACAAGACTTGTTGCCTTTCTTTGGACCTGCTCCAGCACCTCAGTGTCCAGTACATCTCCACCACCTCCCCTCTGGTCCTTCCCACCCAATGCAGATGCACAGTCTAAATGGTACAGAACAAGCACAAACAACCAGAACTCTTCCCAGATCCCCTTTGAAGAGACAAAGTGCTGGCACTTTGTGAGGGTGCATTCTTCCTTTGGAAGAGCAAAAAAACTACCAAAACCACAATTTAACAGGCTTCTAACAAGTACCTTAAGTCAAGGATGGCAGTCACTCACAATACCAATTTACATATAATACATATTTATAAATAACACAAGCAAAGATCTACATGAGATTTTAGACTGCACTAAAACAGAGCTGAAAAATCACAACAGATTTTGCTAAGACATTAACACAGGCCAGAGATCCTGGAGTTAGCAGCTCTCACAGGCTTCCCTGAGCTGTCATTTGCAAATCACACAGCCACAGTTTTAATTAAGTTCTGCTCCACATCTTGCAAATGCAGTCATCACAAGAAGTGAACGAATTGGAAAGCAAGGTCTGTTCTTTCCTCTGGCACCTTGCTGTGGTTTTTGGGAGTGCACATCAAGAAACTGGCAGCCCTGGTTAAAGGGGGAGGAGAGGTGAACTCCTGTAGCAGTATGGCTAACAAGGATTATTTATGTACTGCTGAACAACTTCCCATTGTATGTGCACCAGGAAGCTTTTGGCATAGCTGAGCCTTCACCACTGTGATCGCTGTTCTTGTTGATCACAGGGGCAAGGCTGAGGTTTCAAAAAAACCAAAAGGCTGTGCAAGCTATGGTGAAATTAGCAATGGCAGGTTTCACCTGGAGAGCTTGCTCTGTCAAGGACGTAAGGGAAAAAAAAAAGGAAAAATCACACTTTGGATAGAAATCTCAGAAGTGAATACATTGAGTGGGACATCTGAAAGCCAGAGACCCTCAACAGTGGAAGGTAACACCCATGCTGCAAAGACTGGAAGTGTATTTTTCCAAGCATCTTGCTTCTTGTATTGCATGCAACATCCACATTCAGGAACATGCTTCTCAAAACAACACCATTTCCTGGATGCTGGAGTGCATCAGAGACCATCAGCATTATTCCAATAGCATCAGACTGCTCAGTAATTTAACCTCCAGTTGTTTGAGACTCAGTGAGAAGAACTACTGATGTGATTTTTGCCATTAGCAGATCTTATTTATGTAAAAATAAATAAATAGCTAAAAATAAAAATTGTTTTCTCTTTTGCTGCTGCTGAAATATGTGAAGAAACATGCTGTGAACAGTCCAATAAAAAAAGCATTGGGAGGGACGTGTTCTAGCTCAGCTTTGTGAGGACTTTCAGACAGAACATTATGTTGTTCCCAATGCTCTCAGACATCTGATTTTCTTATCGATGCTTGTGTCTGAGGGAGCAAGTTTTTCTCCTGTTTGTGACAGATTTTCTCTTACTTTCTTCAAAGCTGTGTGCTGTGGAAAGTGACACGGTAAGTGATGCAAAAAAGACCCAAACAACTTCCAAATCAGTAAGGTCCAGTCTTATCGTGCACAGCCTTCCTATTTCTAAACTCCTGTTCTTTGATTGACCCAAACCTGTTCTGTGTGCTGCTCCTGCCCTGCCTCTCTTAACTAGCCAGAAAAGTAGGGGGGCCATAGACAGCCGCTGCCTCCAGAGGAGAAGAGGGCCACCCTCATAAAGCTCAGGTTGACAAACCAAATCACTTTGCTCTAGGCAAGGAGAGTACAGCAAAGTACAATTTCTGGGTCTCAAAGTGAAATAAAATGTAAACTCTGTTAGGATGTAGATTTTGTACTTGTGTAGCTTAGCAAGAGTCCTATATGGTATCGTAACTACATGTAACGCAGCACTGCAAACTGACATCAGGAATACGCACATCAGTATCTGAATGTTCCGTAAAAAAGGATAAAGGCAAGAGATTCATATGTTCTGTGTTTTCAATTCTGAGTTTCTAAGCTGAAGAAATAATATGTAACTCAGAGAAACAGCCTTTATAGAGTCAAGTCTAACAAATTGCTTTCCTCTGCATTTTCCCTAAAAAATTCACTGGGACATTAGACAGGCTGCCCAAGTGCGTCTCTGCTTTGCTGGGAGTCTTGTCATCCTTTTGCAAATATCTCAGACCATTTAATCCAGTTCCCAGACTTCTGGTGTCATGTCTGCAACAGCCTCCTCTGAGAAACAGCTTCATCCCACCCTTCTTCAGGATCGCTGCTCTTATTGTTTCTTCTGACTGCTCCACTTTGACTGCACGCCAAAAACTTTCACCTTCAATTCCTGTCTCTTCCATCCCTCTGCAGAACTCTGTTCAAGTTAATGGGCTTGGTGTTATTCCTCTACTGGAGGTATGTAACTCTCTAAGGCTATGGTTCATAACTGCAACCAATCCTGACCTTAGCTGTTCTGAAAATATCATTTTATAACACGCAGACATATTATACACAGAAATTATTGCATTGCAGACTTATTTTGCACTGTCAGACTGTCCTTCATCCTCACTCACTGAGCAACAGAAAATAACTCCGC